TTTGCATGTGTACACATGCGGCCAGAGATTCAATGTTGGGAGTCTCCCTCAATTGTTTTCCAAGACCTTACTTTTTTGAGACAGGGTCTCTCACTGAAAACCCAGAGTTTGCTGATTCAGCTAGACTGGCTTCTGTCTTCCCTTGCCCAGTACTAGGATTGCAACCATCCCTCTTGTCATGTGTGTATGTGTGTACATGTAGGTGAGTGTCTATGTGTAGTTGTAGTGTATGGTGTATAGTGTGTATGCATGTGTGTGTGTGTGTGTGTGTGTGTGTGTGTGTAGTATCTTGCTGTCATTTTGTCTTAGTCCCTTGAAACACGGTCTTTCCCTCAACTAGGAGCTGGCTGGTAGCCAGGAAGCTCCAGAAATCTTCTTATTTCTACACTATGCTTTACAGAAGTGGGTTTATAAGAGTATGTGGCCATGCCAGGCCTTTTGTGAGGGTTCTGGGGATTGAATATGCATCCTTATGTCTGTATGGTAACATCTCTCCAGACCTTCTTGAGGATCTTAATAACAACATCCACCCGCCTGCATTTGAAAAGGAAGCAGGCCACGAAAAAAAAAAGATGGGAACCACCCAACCTCCAAGACCTCTAGGCTATTGGCTTATCTTCACTTATAGAAGAATCTGTTCTTTTTTTATTGATTTTTATTGAGCTCTACATTTTTCTCTGCTACCCTCTCTGCCTCCCCCTTCCCCTTCAATCCTCTCCCAAGTTCCCCATACTGCCAATTTACTCAGGAGATCTTGTCTTTTTCTACTACCTATGTAGATTAGTTCTATGTATGTCTCTCTTAGAATCCTCATTGTTGTCTAGGTTCTCTGGGATTGTGTTTGTGAGCTGGTTTTCTTTGCTTTATGTTTAAAAACCACTTATGAGTGAGTACATGTGATAATTGTCTTTCTGGGTCTGGGTTACCTCACTCAAAATGATATTTTCTAGCTCCATCCATTTGCCTACAGAATTCAAGATGTTGTTATTTTTTTTCTGTTGTGTAGTACTCCATTGGGTAAATGTACCACATTTTTCTTATCCACTATTCAGTCAAAGGGCATTTAGGTTGTTTCCAGGTTCTGGCTATGACAAACAATGCTGGTATGAACACAGTTGAGCACATGCCCTTGTGGCACGATTGAGCATCTTTTGGATATATACCCAAAAATGGTATTACTGGGTCTTGAGGAAGGTTGTTTCCTAATTTTCTGAGAAATTGCCACACTGACATCCAAAGGGGTGTACCAGCTTGTATTCCCATCAGCAATGCTGGAGTGTTCCCTTTTCCCCACAACCTCTCCAGCATAAGTTGTCATCAGTGGTTTTGATCTTGGCCAATGAATCTGTTCTTCTATATGTTCTTCAGCATGCTTACAAATTCACATGCTCTTAATTGTTATAGGGATGTAGACAAACATTCAGCTATAGACTTTTTAAAAAAATTCTTTTTATTTTTTCAAATAGAATAGTCCTTTCTCCAGTTTCTGGAAAGGCACCATTATAAAGATTGGGTGGATGGTCACTGAAAGCTGTGAGCCATGCCACCACACTTACATCTGCCCAAATAAACTAGAGTCGTGATGCTCAACCTCTTGGGCTTCCATGAATATTAATAAGTATTTGCTCCTGTGTTAGTCATGCTTTGAGACTTTAATCTTCATCACCGAGAAGTATCTTTCTGCATCTACAAACCTCCCAAGATTACCTGGTAGAGTAAGCCATCTGCTTATGGCGGGCTGATGGCAAAATCAAAGGGAAGAGACGATTGTTTATTATTATTTATTGTTTATTCCCAAGGAAGTTTCCAGATGGCGAGTCTGAGTATTTTGTCATCTAACTAGCAAGTTTTCTTGCTTCTAAACAATTAGACTTTCTCATACATTTATTTATGCCTATTTGTTTGTATCTAGTTCACTGACTCAGGCGAGCAGTAGAGCAGCCTATCCCTTACAAAACCACTCTAGAAAACCCAAGCCTGACAGACACAACCACTCCTCCTTGCATTTTAAGGGGCAAAACCCCCGGACTTGATTTTCACAATTTTAATCAGCTCTGACATTTTTTTTTTTACTTTTCTTAGTCCTATACATTTTTAAAAATTATTTATTTATTTTTATTTATTTATTAAAGATTTCTGCCTGCTCCCTGCCACCGCCTCCCATTTCCCTCCCCATCCCCCAATCAAGTCCCCCTCCCTCATCAGCCCGAAGAGCAATCAGGGTTCTCTGCCCTGTGGGAAGTCCAAGGACCACCCACCTCCATCCAGGTCTAGTAANACATTGCTTTTAAAAGTGTGGGCCAGAATTGGACTCAATAGTTTTTAGATGGTTTTTAAATCAAACACACAGATACACACATGCATACATATCTGATATATATATATTGTATTTATATATACACACTATATAATATATCTATATTCTCTACAAAAAGATGGATATCCATTTTTTGAGACAGGGTCTCATTATGCAGCCCTGGTTGACCTGGAACTTGATATATACACCAGGTTGGCCTCCAGCTTACCGATATCCAGCATGCACCACTATGCTTGGCTTAATATGCATATGCTTTTATTAAAATTTATTTTTATTTTATGTGTATGAGAGTTTTGCCTGCATGTGTCCATGTGTACCATGTGGTGCCTGGTACTTCCAGGAGTCATAAGTGAGCATCAGATCCCCTGAAACTGGAGTTTCAGACAGTTACAAGGCACCATTTTGGTGCTGGAACCCAATCCTAGGTCCCCTGCAAGAGCAGCAAGTGCTCTTAACAGCTGAACCATCTCTTTAGACCCTAATATACACATTGTTAAAAATTATTATTATTGCCAGGTGGCAATTAGTCCCAGCACTCCAGAGGCAGACACAGGCAGATTCTCTGTGAGTTTGAGGCCAGACTGGTCTACAGAGAGAGTTCTAGGACAGCTAAGGCAACACAGAAAAACCTGTCTCAGAAAAAGAAATTATTATTATTGAGACAGTGTTTCTCTGTGTAGCCCTGGCTGTCCTGAAACTCACTCTGTAGACTAGGATGGCTTCAAACTCAGAGACCTGCCTACCTCTGCCTCCTGATTGTTGGGATTAAAGGTGTGTGCCACTTCTTCCGGTTTTAAAATTATTTTTATTGGATGTATATGGGTGTTTTACGAGTGTTTAACTGTGCATCACATTTCTACAGTGCTTGTGGAGGCCAGGAAAAGGCATCAGATGCCCTGGGACTGGGATTTACAGCCAGTTGTGAGCCACCACGTGGACGGTGGAAATGGAATCCTCTGCAAGAACAAGAACAACGAGAAGCCATTTCCAACTCCTTACTATTTACATTTTTAAATTAATAATAGATGAAACTTATTCATTTCAAGTTTTTCTTTTTAAGTCCTTGGTATGATGCAGAAATCCTATCAACCATATGTTGGATCATTGTACTGGCTGGTTTTGTGTGTCAACTTGACACAAGCTAGAGTCATCAAAGGAAGGAGCCTTAGTCGAGGAAGTTCCTCCTTGAGATCCAGCTGTAAGGCACTTTCTCATTAAGGGATCAGTGAGGGAGGGCCCAGTCAATGGTGGGTGATGCCATCCCTGGGCTGGTGGCCCTGGGTTCTATAAGAAAGCGGGCTGAGAAAGCCGTGGGAAGTTAGCCAGTAAACAGCACCCTTCCATGACCTCTGCATCAGTTCCTGCCTCCAGGTCCCTACCCTGTTAGAGTTCCTGCCCTGACTTCCTTCAGTGATGGATGGCAATATGGAAGAGTAAGTCAAGCAAACCCTTTCCTCCCCAACTTGCTTTTGATCATAGTGTTAGGTCACAGCAATAAAAACCCTAACTAAGACAATCATGTTACCTGTACCTTAAAAGTCAATTTTAAAAAAAATATGTTTTAGCTGGGCGGTGGTGGTACATGCCTTTAATCCCAGCACTTGGGAGGCAGAAACAGGTGCGTTTGAGGCTAGTCTAGTCTACAGAGAGAGTTCCAGGACAGGTTCCAAAGCTACACAGAGAAACCCTGTCTCAACAAATAAACAAACAAAACAAAACAAAACAAAAACAAAACAAAACAAAACAATCCCCCTTCCAATAACAAGTACGTTTTAAGAATTAAAGATCTTTTGCAACAAAATATATCATGGACTAATGAAAATTCACTATGGACCAGCAGCTGAGAACAACCCTGAAAAGACTAATGCCTAGCATTGAAAAAAGGTTACATCTCAACCCTAGACATCAAACTGTCCCTGACACTAGGTCACAGTCCTTGCCTGGTACTGAAGGCCCACACCACACTCTTCTCCCCAGGACTCCCCTGCAAGGTTACTCCTTTCCAGCTTGTGGTCTGCAGCATTTTCCAACTCTGTTCTGCTGTTTCGTGTCTTCATTTCTCCCTGCCTCCTTCTGAAATGAACCTTATGACATTTACTTGCTATAGAATGCCTTCCTATATTTACAGACACCCTTCTTGGAGACTTTTGACATTCTCAATAACAAGACAGTAAAAGATAGGATTTCCATGACTTAGAATATTTCTTATCCCATCTAGTTAGCATTCAGCTAGATAGTTGATGAAATTCTTCTTGATATTTTCATCTAAAACTAAGTATTTTGAATAAAGTCCATATGGGTAATACTCAGGACAGGCAGAATATCTGGGATAGATGCAAGGAATTAGCAGCTTTAATTAGGAATTTTAATGTTTATCACCTACTACCCAAAGGGCACAGTGGTTCTAAAATCTAAAGGTTGTTTTTCTCCCAAAGTGGACCCTCGTACTATAGAAATTCTTCTCCTCCTGTGTGACTATGTACATGTGCTATCTGGAGTGGGAGGGGCCACGAGCATGGAGGAATGTGAGGCTCCTGAGTTAACACTCTAGTACACATCTTTTGTACATAGGACACATTTACATTGCTCTCCAATTACCACTCTGTGGTCCATATGATGCGTTTATTTTATAGTTTCACATATTTACAAATGTCATTACTCAACAGCTGACATGAGTCCTTAGTGAACTTGTATTTCAAACATTTTTATTAAAAAAAAATTACCAATATGATTGAGTCCTTCAACCACATTTCCTGTCTCCTAACCCCTCCCCTTAAAGATGTGTATGACAGATATAAAATAGGAAGAAATTTTACTAAGAACTCTAATAGTGCAGCTATATAGTTTCAAAGTCTATTCCAGTGAGCAAAGAGAGTTCTAAAGAAGAAACATTGGTTAAGTGCCAGGCAATCAAGCTTGTAGGAACGGAATCATGAGAAATACCATAACAATACAAAGGAGAGCCCATGGGTACAGGAAGTGGAAAGAAACACCTACTGGAGTTCTGGTGTGAGAAAGGACAGTTAAAGCTCCACGTTCATTAGAAAGGGGGGGGGGGTAAAGGGCTGAAGATGGTGAGAGTCTTTGAAATAATTGAGGCTGAACCAGAACCAGGTAAAGCTGAGTCCCCAGGAGCAAAGGGAGAGGCACACATGAGTTCCTAGGTCAGGGTAACACTGGCTGAACTAAGAAAACACAACCCATGAGGACCGTTCAACATGTCTTATCATCGCTCAGAGTATTCAAGACTCAGGGCCAGTGGTCTCCTGAGCATGCAAAATAAGCCACTAAGTAGTCCAGCTACTGGAGAGCTCACCCTGGTGGTGATAGCGGTGGAGTTGGCTGAGGGGTGAGGAACTGGCCGGATGGCCAATACTGCAACTATCCAGACTCAGAACCAGGGGTAGGTTTGGCCCACTCCGATATCTGCCCCATCTGTGGCTGTCTGTGATCTCCTGGAGCACATGAAGGAACTGGTTCTGCAGATCCAAAGCTATAGGATCTGCATAACACAGGGCAACAAGATATCCAAGAGGAGGCTCAGTGAGGGCTCAGTATCCACAGTGTAGCAGAGCCCAGAGGCCTCAAACCAGACCAATGACTCTTTGCAACGAACATTTGCAAGTAAAGATACATGGACAACAAATAAAAAAATCATCCAGCTAGAAGGATTGGGGCAAAGAAGCTTCTTATATCTGGGTAATACGACTCCTTATCTACTTGGTCTCACTCCTGCCTGGTCACTGGTGCACGGGGATGAGTGCTCCTCCAGGAAGGATACAGGGAATCTGCCACGACAAAATGTTCCCCAGTGTGACGTCAACACAAATGAAAGGTCGACAGAGCGCTCCCTGGTCTACTTTGCACCTCATCATTATGTGAGCAAAGGTGGTCAGAAGAGAAACTTGACCCAGCAAGTCTTCATGGCAGCATTCTGTATTAAGAATCCTAAAATAAGTTCCAAAACTGCCTCCTGTTTCCCTGGCGTGGGAAAAGAGCCAGGGAAAAAAGCTTTTATACAGTTTAGGACTAAAGGTGTATAACAATAAAATAACACAGTGCGTGTAACAGTGGCATAAATCCCAGGAGCCCCTCAAGCCTGGGAACCATACTAAAGGATTTATGTTTTAGTTTATTGATCCAGTAATTTTATACTTTAACATTTGATTTCTCAATAGTAGGACTTCCTGGAATTTGGAGAGAATTCTTCTGTGGTATTAGTAACTCTGGTATTGAGTTGGTGCAGTATGGTGACCACCAGTGAACTGACATAAACCCAAATTTCACTTCAAGGAAAAACAAAAATTAGAAAACGTTGTTCGCTAAATTGGCAAGCATTCATCTTATAAGTATTGGCAGGGATTTAGTAAATGTCACTATAAATTCTCTAAAAAGATAAATCCCTTAATACATATTTTTATTCAGTGAATGCAGACCAGGGACCTCAAGAGCAAAGAGCCCTAAGTAGGTCTGTGATCTTGAGCTCCGTAGGGATGTCTGTCCAAAACTGAGGAAGAGAAAGTTTGCTTTATAATGATTCTATAGCAGATCCTGCCAGGCTAGGACTTCTACACAACTTAGAATAATCTCTATTTAGCCCATTTGTAGCTTTCCGGGCTGAAGTGTGTACACAGGTCCTAGAATATCTTTAACATCATTATGTCGTTCTGTTAAAGACATGGCATGCAAAAGTCCAATGTCATCTCAAAAATACATGTAGTATGCCCAGTAAAATACATTGGCTAGCATAAAAATCAAAGGAAACAGTAGTTTGGAATATCGATCCACGTTGCTGGGATTTTGAATTGTGAAATAATCGATAATTCTGCCAATTTTTTCTCGGAAGACAAACTTGAATTTGTCACTGGCTTTCATCGTCAAGTCGCTATAGTTGACGTTGTCACCAGAAATTTCAATGCTGGCAAAGCTGATCTTCCGTCTAAAGCTGGAGATGGAGCTGTTGATGATGTTGGTGATATTGACATCTTCTGGTTCCTTTGCTGTCCCCTGGTTCATAGAAAATAAGTTAGCTTGTAAGACAGGGACAGTAACGTACATGGGTGATATTGTGAAGAGCAGGGTGCTGTGGTGGTACCAGACCTGGGCTTAAATCTCAAATGACAGGTCTTTTACTACTGGAAACTTGTGATTTAAATCCCTTTAGGATGTGATTGCCTCATCTGCAACATGGTAACGATAGGAATTGTTTCTTCATGAGACTAAAGGGAAGATTAAGTGGCATACATTGAGTAAAGCATCTAGTAGATACTTGGTAAAGTTCTAGTCTGTTTTAGGGTGAAGAGAGAAAATAAATCCATTGTGTTCTGTGGTCTTTGCTACAAACATAGGAACAGGACTGTGCTCCCTGCAAATCCAGGGAATTTCCACTATCCAACAAGGTGCTGATGACACAGAAAGTGGGGTCTTGGCTGAGTTCCTTCACCACTCGGAGGGCAGATTTCTCAGTAATAAAATAAGGAGGATGATGGCTTGATATCATTGAGTTTTGGGATACCCTGAGACATGTAGAGGATACAGCACACACTTCACAGTGATTCTCTTGTTATGTCCATGGCGTGGAGGTGAGCACTGGAGTCTTCAGTAGAAGACCTTGGGAATTCTCCAACCCTCGTCTATCATTCTAAGGAATCTGAATTTGTGTGTGCTATTAGGGAAGCCTTCATGGAAGAGAACGCATGAAATCCATATTCTCCTCTGACGAGCACACATGCTCTTTTGACTTTAGTGCTTGGATTGACCACAACAACCAAACACAATGATGAAGGCACTGGCTCTTCTGGTTGCCCATATCCTCACTATTAGGTCCCTGTGGTCTGACAGCACACTGCTTAGGGTGCCACTTTCCTAAATCAGATCCTTATTATTTGTTTGTTTGAGCATCAGTGTGCTAATGCCCATCAAATCTAGTTTTGAAATAACCTTGGGTGAAGGGAAAACAATGTATCACACTGGAGCAAAGTTAAGTTAAAACTAAGTTTTAAGTTAGAATCCCAGGAATTTTGTTACAAGTCAATTTCTTCTATACATTTTTTTGGATAAACTGTTTCTTGTATAATTTAAGAATATATAATTGCATCAAAATTAAGTAATAACCACAAATTAATCTGAAATGTGTGAACAGCTAAGCCTGTCTAGTTTGACATTGGGCTTTTTTTTTAGATACTTGTTCTTATGATCACCCTTTCATGTTGCAGATGAATAATAGTTTTTTTTGCTAGAAAATTCAATTTTGATATCCTGTTTTATCTGGTGAAAAGAACAGCACCGGTTAAGGGGCACCATGATTTCCAAATGTGCCCGCCTTGGTAGGGGTACAATGCATTAGAACAAAGTGGATTACTCTGGGGATGGGAACTAAGCCCTGATCCCCTCTTCAGAGTGGTGCATGGCCGGGTGATGGATGGTAGACAACCCCCTCCAAATCCTTACCCTATCTTTGACTGCCATCTGCTGTAAGGAGCTGTAGTGAGCAACTGCGTACTCCAGCAAGGCCCCAAACACGAAGCTGAAGCAGATCCCCAGGTACACATCGATGGCCTTGATGAAGCAGTTGGTGTTGGGTAGGGATGTTCGGGAACCGATCATCAGTGTGGTCATGGACAACACAGTTGTCACTCCTTGGGAAACAAGTAGGAGCTGTTCCATGCGGCTGTCCCCACCCACCCCTATCCCTCTCTATCATCTGGCTGGGTGACTCCACCCAGGAGGCCACAAGATGAGGACAGGACTCATGAACAGTACAGATCTATTTCAGAGTCTGTGACCTACTGGAATACAGTTGTTTTATTCATCTCCAACAGATGTAAGTGACATAGTTTTCCAAATAGGTCATCTTCTGTCTTCTTTTAGAGATGGACAGTCAGTAATAAAGTTATGGGCAGTGGATTGTTTACACAAGCTCACCTCATCTGCCACCATAAAACAAATTAAAAAAAATACAGTCCTTCTGATGCTATCTTTCTCTCCATCTCTGCACCCATTTTTCTCTCTGTGTAAAAGAATTTATCAAGATACCAACTTTTACAATGACTCAGCAAACATCAGTGAACATAAAGATAGAATTTTCAAAAGCCCTTGATTCACCTAGTTCTTAGAACTCGTCCAGGGGAACTTCTTACCAATGCAAGTTCTCGCAGGAACAGAATCGAGAGAGATCCAAAACGAAACCCAGGATAGCACCACCAGGAAGGTGGAAGGAACGTAGGTTTCCAGAATGAAATACAGGACGTTCCTCCGAAGCTCAAATTGCAAAACCAATCGAGTATAGTTTCCTGAGAGTGCAAACATGAGGTAAGAAACTGCATCTGCTCACACAGGAGAGGAGTTGCCCCATGAACCACAATCATGTTTAGCCTTCTGTTACCAAAATTTAGTCAGCTATGAACTGCACTCTGGTTACCACAGAGGACCTCAGTGTTGCCTGGCATGGGATTTACAGTGGTGCTCTTACCTAACCCCCACACTCGTGTTTTTCTTTTTATGCCTTCCTTTACCAAGGCATTGCTTCGGTATTGTGACCGCCAGTATTCTAAAACTCTAGCTCACCAGACTGTGAACCACAAGGGGGCAAAATCTGCATCTCTCAACCTTGCACTCACATGGTAAGCTGTTAATAAATACCCGTCTAATGAAGATTACTTAAGACAGCCCATTGTTTTCAACATTACTGTAGAGTAGGCCTATTAAATGTAATTTAATTTTTGTGTAGATGCATATGTGTGTGTGTGTATTTCTGTATTTGTGTGCAAATGTTTGTGGAGACCAGAGTGCAGTCTTAGAAGTTGTTGTTCACGAATCATCTACCTTTTTGTTTGAGACAGGATTTCTTATTGGCCTGAAGCTTGCAAAGCAGGCTAGGTGCTAGCCAGAGAGCCTCAGAGTGACACTGTCTTTGCCTCTCTGGCACCAGAATTACAAGTGGCATGCCCTGATTTTTTTTTCTCCCAATGAGTTATGGGGATTGAAGTCAAGTCCTCATGCTCGCAAGGTAAGCATATTGGGTTGTCCATTCAGGCTCAATCATTTATTTTTTTGTTGATTTCAGAGGTATCATTTCAGGATCATGCTTAGGGAATTACCCAAGCACACATGTTATCTATGTGGCATATAAACAATAGAGAGCTGCCATATTTGCTCCCTGTCTTTTTTCTAGGTGTACATTTAATTTTTAAAGTCATCTAGACTCAACTAGAACACATGATAATGTTTTAAAGAGTAGAAATATTGATAAGACAAAGCATTCCTAACTTGACCATAAGGAACTGAGAAGAAAATATCACTGTTTGTATGTAAAATCATTTAGAAAATACCTATTTAAGCCAGGCATGTTGGCACACACCTTTAGTCCCAACACTAGAAAGGCAGAGACAGCGGATCTACATGCTTTTGAAGCCAGTTTGTCCACAGAGCAAATTTCAGGTCAGCCAAGGCTTTACAGAGAAACCCTACCTTGAAACAGCAAAACCAAACCAAAACAACAAAACCCTAAAACCACCAACTCCCAGAGATCTAGTTCTGTACATGACAATTTGATAATTGCACTAACGAGGTGATCATGTAGTATTGCTACTGTCTTCTTTACCTGTGAGTGCTTTCTTTTTTGTACTTCATTCTTTGACCAGTGCACTCACTAGAAACACGAGTGACTTTTCGTGCACAAGGGAGTGCTGCATTTGAACAGTCATTAGAGAACCTCGGAAGGGACTAACTAAAATTCAATGTTGGCCCAGAGGGTTGCTCTCCAGTTGAGCATGTCCACCTGAGTGCAGCGTGCACAGAAGCCCAGGTTCTGTGCCTGTCTTCCTTTTCCTGCTCCACACCAGTGCAGAATGCTTACACTCCCTGGGAGTAGAGGTGGAGGCCATGCTGCTTAGGATTCAGGTTGCGACCTTTCCCTTAAGTATTTTTATTCTGTGGGATGGGTCACAAGAGTTACCTGTCTCCTGCTGGGATACGGTTACCAAGGTGAAATACTGCTGGATGGTGTACTGAGCAAGGCGTAGGCTTTCAAGTCCACGCACAGAATCGTTTCCTCTCAGCCAGGTGAACTCCACATCGTTGCCGTCATATCCCCCTGGCAAATGAAAGCGAGCCTTGGTCAGTGCAAGGATACTGCAGACGCAGCTGGTTTGGGAAATGCTACAGAGTGAGCGAGAGCTCTATCCTGATGGTATTAAGCCTACAGGAGTACGCCATGCAAAAGTTGGCTAGGTTTCTCATGTGCAGCAGAATGAAATCTTTTGCTAGGTCCATGTTTGACTGGTTGAGACTGTCCAAGCCTGGTAGGTGATAAAAATGGCTTTCTTTATTACTGAGTGGCATTTATTAAGTGTGCTGCCACAAAGGGACCCATGCCGGATTCTGTTTTTCCGAGCAGTCTAAGCTTGGATGATGTTGTCTGAGACTTTGGAAGGACTCTCTCTATTCATATTTCTCACTGGTATCAATGCAAAAATAAAAAATCCTTTAACCAGCCACCTTATGACGCTCTGTCAATATGTGCTTTTGATAAATGTTAGCTTTACTAATATCAGTTGATGGTAGTGATAACAATTACCTTTTATGAACCTTTTATGTTGTCCTTTACACAACACATATCTTTAATGCTCTCACAGGCCAAGGAAGTAAACATCTCTGTGTTTCCTTGATTTTAAGGTGGACTTTTGTCTTTACATTTCTGAAATTGTGATGGATCTCACCATTGATTTATGTAGGTGAAGTAGCATTTTCTCCTAAAATGTGCTTATTCTCTAGATACTGTACCTTAGACTTGAGGAATTATTCGCCAATTATATGTGAAAACACTCAGATTCTAAAGAGTTTCCTTTTTTTCTTTTTTAAATTTATTTATTTATTAAAGATTTCTGCCTCCTCCCCACCACTGCCTCCCATTTCCCTCCCCCTCCCCCCGATCTTAACTGTCTCAGGATTTAGGTAAGTAAGAGACAAAAGCCAACCCTGTGCCTCTCTCTGGAAAGCTTAATCTCAAAGTCTGTAGATGGTGTTGATAATAATGGAGCATCTATTACTTAGGAGGCAATTTCTAAGTGCCTTGCGACATTATCATCTCCTCCAATCCTTGCAGATAAGATGTGTTCATAGTTAATAAACACAGACAATAGACACAATTTCATCAGTCACTGGGAAAATACAAAGCAAAACCACACGCTGCTTCATACTTGTTAAGATAGTAATAATAAGGACGAGATGAGAAAAGCAATAAAGATATTGACAAGCTGGAACTTCATTGGTGGGAATGCAAATATACAACCACTTTTGGAAACAAAATGACTAACTAAAAACCTAAATAGTAAGTGTATCATTTGAATCAGAATTCTATTCCGAGGTATTTACTTAAGAGGAATGAAGCGCTACTCACAGAAAGACTTGTATAGAACTATCCGCGGCAGCTTTATGTACAGTGACCAGATGTGAAGCTAAACCAAAAGCGTGTTAACCTTTTGGAAAAGCTGGAAAGAATAGTCCTGAACAAACAAAAGGAATGAAGTCCTGATAACATGCCACATCATTCTGTGGAAAAAGCCAGATGCAGAAGGGAACAGATCGTATTGCTCTTACTTATATAAAATGTTCAGGAGAGACAAATTTACAGCCGCAGAAAGTAAGCTAGAGGCACCTGGGGGTTTGTGGCAGGAAATTGGGGTGATGACAATAAAGACAGGGGATCTCTTTGGGGGTAGGTGATGGGAATATTCCAACAATGCAACCTGCCAATGGCTACAAACACCTTGAAACACATACTTAAAAATGGATGAATTTTCTGATTCATACATTATAGCTCAATAAACCCAACTTATATAGAAGGCAACTCATTGAGCCTGGTGTGCTTACTTTTTCCATTTCAAGGGGGTAGGAATCTGAGACTCAAAGAGGTTTGTTAGCCAAAGTCATACAGATAGTGATGTTGCCCCATGATTCCAGTCCCTGTGGTTGCAATCTTGTCATTGCTTCAGAGGCTGCTGAGACTGTGGTGCTGATGTTAGGACTGATATTGTGCTATGAGGCATAATTATGGAAGTTGATATCTAGTAGGCTTCATCTTATGATGCCTGAGCTCCTTGAGCTCCAGATAACACTGTGGGTGTTCCCTTGGAATCCTCCAAAAGTGAGTGGAAGCCGGCCATCGGAACTAGTGAAGAAGACTTCTCTCTGAAAATGAGGAGAGCAGGTTCCTACCTGGGTACTTGGTTTCAGCCCTAGTAGAGGCTGGCTCACAGTTTTTATTTGCTACCGTCCTCTGTCCCTGGGTGAATGTGGGTGATTAAGATAATATCAGTTCCTTTTTTTAATGATAGTATATTTGGAAAAAACCCAAACCTGAGTGAGGTTTTATTACCTGAATGCCTGCTAATAAGCATTCTGTGGAAGCTTCCTCTGCCCCTCGGGGATGGTGTCTATGTACACAGAGTGCTGAAGTTTCTTGGTGAATCTTGCTCCTGGGATTTGGGATGAGCCCAGCCATGACACATGGAGGGCAATTATTTCTTTTGTGCTACACTCGAATTGCTTCTCTGTTTGATAACCCCAAGTTGCATTCTTCTACCAAACAGCTGCATTGCTTCAAGAAGGGTTTTCACGTGCCGATTCAATAGGATAATTAATCTGCTTAGGTCTGTAACTAAATGTGTACTTCTAAAAATGGCTTCTCCTCATAATGGTTCTTCTCTCCTGGCTTTGCCTACTTGTTCCCTTAAGCACAGAGTACCCAGTGGTCCCCAAGGCTTGTCTACAGTTATTTTCCACTTTGACGCCCTAATGACTCATATCTGTGGCGTTATTTCCCTATCACAGGTGCCCAAATTTGGAGATGTTCGGAGATGCATACAAAGGAACAACGGAGATTGTTTAACCATCCCAAGGAACTGATTTGACCCACATCCATTTAGAGCGAACCCTCATTTTCCATCCTAGGAAATTCCCAGGTTATAATTTAGATGCTCAGTTACCCACAGCACTGTACAACACTTTCCCATATACCAAATAAGATCCCTTACGTGTTGGAGGCAGCTGCATCACAAACAGCAGTGAGCGATTTGAGTATTTGGGTTTTCTCCTCCAGGGCTTTTCCCATGCTGGGCAAGCATTGTGCCCCCACCCACCACACGCCCCCACTCCTCCTTGCTCCTTACTAACCTTTAACCTTTGCTCTGTTCCTTCTTGTTTCTGTGGTACTGTGCCCTGCTTTTTTTTTTTTTTTGTCCTCTTAGCCAACTGAAACCTGTCCATCCTCTGATTTCAGGTGGCAATATCCTCTGGACACCTCTGACCCTTTAACAGGCTTTCATGGTGCCGTAACTTTTTATTGCTTGTCTTTTATTCTTTCATAATTGTTTTAAGTCCTGTGCTGTCTGTCAGCTGGTCCACCTCTCGAAGACGGGCAAATCGTTTTATTTTTGCAGCGCAAACATTTGCCACAGCGTCTAACACAGAACAGGCATGTGGTTGTTGCATGGGTGAACTGACTGAGGAGTAGGCAGATGGAACCCAACCAGCCAGCCAGACTAGCTGGAGGCTTCGGTGGGAAAATATGTAGAACTGAAGTATTAGACCGAGTCAAAATATTTTCCTTAAGACGCAGGGGAAAGGAAAAACACTGGCCTTGCTCCTAAGTAACCGAAAAGAGCTGGCGTGAAAGAAGCTTCAGACTGCCGCCTGATAGTCATGCTGGATTTCGGCGTAACATTTGGCAGGATTTGGGAATCCCACAAGCACGATGTGGTCTCTCGGTTTGGGGAAAATCAGTGAATATCAGTTGGTGCTAGAGAACCTAGAAATCCCATACACTTGCTTAAAACCTTATTAGAGTATACTAGGGAGAAGTGGATAGCCCCCGGACCACATACAAGCAAGCCACTGGGTGGGAATCTTCATGGGCCTTCTGGCCAGTGAAAGAGCTCTAGGAACTGTCAACCCCTCTTCCTGGGCTCCAGTCCCACTGTTCCTATTTTTCAGATCCCTTTAGAAAAATGCTAAGTTGTGATGAACCTCAATTTCTATCATCATAAGGTGGGGAGAACAACACTTACGGGTTGTTTAGAAGGTATCTGCGTGTGTGGCATGTGAATGCAACACTATTTATTAGGAAAAGAGCTCCAATATTAATTATTATTTTCATGGTTGCTGATGGAAAAATGGTTCGGGCAAGGTGACCACGGCGAAGGCAGACTGAGATCATATTGTTAGCTGTCCCTTCTATAGTCATTTTCCAACTAGCTGCCTCCTTCCTCTGTAGTTGCATAGCAAGGTTTGGCTAGAAGCCAGTGCATTTTTATTAGGAAAAAGAAAAAGAAACCTTTTGAGGACTTCTGGGCTTCAAAGGGTAGCCTGTGGCATGTTTAGTAACAAATGCAAATGGGGTTGATGAAGCCCAGGCTGTCTGCATCTGGGGTTGATTTGGTTTTGGTAGAGCAAGAGTGGATGTGTGGATGATGAGAAGCCAAGGTCAATGGCAAGGGGTTTTGATCCTACTTCATGTTCCGGCTTGGTGTGAGCCTAGCCAGTTTGAATGTTCACCTTCCTAGACATGGACGGAGAGGGGAGGTCCTTGGACTTTCCACAGGGCAGGGAACCATGACTGCTCTTTGGATTGGAGAGGGAGGGGGAGAGGAGTGGGGGGAGGGGGAGGGAAATGGGAGGCTGGGAGGAGGCGGAAACTTTTTTTTTCCCATTCTCAATAAAATAAAAAAAAATTAAAAAAAAAATCATAGCCATGGAATGGTTACCAAGAGCTCACCTGGAATCACAGACCCCTGAGGATGAGTACCCCGAGTGCCGGCATGAAGAAAATACGTTAAGTTCTAAGTATCAGGAGCTAGCTGAGGTCTACATTCATCAAGATGTTTTCTTTAAACCAGAAATACTCATGAAACACAATTCCATGGTTTTATAAGTCTGGGAAAGGATACACTCCTTGGAATTCATGGAATTAGCTCTTGGAGGCTCCTAAAAGTTCTGTAGCAATGGAGAGTGTTATTATTTTAGGCTTTGTGGACAGTACAGTCTCTATCATAAATACTCCATCCTGTTATTACAGTGTGACCATAGACAATCTGCAAGTGAGTGGCCATCACTCTGCTATAACATCACTACTTCCAGAAACAGGTGATGGGCCAGACTTGGCAGATAAATCCGGTTTACTGGCCATGGTCTACACATCAGTATTTTCTTCAGCCATCTCTCTGCGCATGGGTGAAGGTATTTGATATTAGCATAGAATGGTTTTCCCCCAAAGATACAACGTTACACAGTTTGCCCTTGAGAAGCAGCTGGATTTATCTGGAAGTTAGGGTGAATAGCTCAATCCGTTGTGGATCTATTGTGGATCAACATAAAGGAAGAAGGGTGCAAGGACATGGGGGTGCTCTGCAAAGCAGAGATGGAGGTCTTCCAGGAAAGGCCCCCTGGGGCCCCGAGGGTGTGTACTCACAACTCTCTAGCTGCAGCTTGCAGGTCTGTGTGTCCATGGGGTATTTAGACAGGTCCATGTTGCATGTCACGGTTGTTGTGATCCTAACGGGAAAAAGAAAAGAAATGGACTCAGAAAGGGTGCTATGAGGAAGAGATGGCATTTCTTCCCCAGGGCTGCTCCAAGAGGACTTTTTCTCAGACTCTTATGGGGGTGTGTGGCTGGTAGTCTACACCCAAGCATTCCTGAGGTTTTCTGGGCTCAGTGACACTCATCCGACCCAGTTCAAGCTGGATCCAGAGTGGAAGAAGCTGGGATGCTGGCAACTCAGAGGCAAACACCCACACTATTACCAAACAGACACATTCTCCAGTGTGCTGAAGATGTCTTATAAACATATTTTAAACTTCATTCAACTTCTTTTAAGTGTTTAAGGGCATTGGGTCCTTTGGAACTGGAGTCAGGAATGGTGGTGAGTCACTGTGTGGGTCTGGGAACCAAACCCAGGTCCTCTGCAAGAGCAGCCAGTGCTCTTAAGTAAGGGCCGAGTCATCTCTCCAGCCTCTGGAGGTGCCTTTTAAAAATTCTAATTTATTTTTTCATGCAAATTATTTTGACCATATTCTTTCCTTTACCCCAACTGTTCCCAGATAATCCTCACTTCCTACCCACTCAACTTCATGTTCTCTCTCTCTTTATCTTCCTTTCTTACATTCACACATTTTTACTAGGTCCCTCATTTATGAAGTACAGTGCTGGGTACACCTAGGAGGCAGATGTGTTTGCTCATGGCATAGTATCCAACTTAATGGAGCTTTACATCTCCTTAAGGGAGACAGAGAAAAACAACCACTGGTTACTGGTTGCTTAGTGCAAGGCAGTTTCTGCGCTAAGGATGTCACATACATTAACCCTTTGAATAGCTCTATGATATAAGAACTGCTATTATCTTTATTTTGTTTTTGAGGAAACTGAGGCTCAGAGGGCCAGTAACTTGCTCAAGTTCACAGAGCTGTTTAGGACAAGAGTCTAGTAGCAGATATCGGTGGTGGTGCACGCCTTTAATTCCAGCACCTGGGAGGCAGAGACAGGTGGATCTCTGTTTGTTTGAGGCCAGCCTGGCCTACAGAGAGAGTTCCAGGACAGCCATGCTTGCCATACAATAGAGTGTATGAAAAAAATGAATTAGAATGAACACAGAGAAGCCCTGTCTTGAAAAGCAAAACAAAACAATAATAAAAAGGAGCTTAGGGGCAAATCATTCATAAACTATGATTCATTGGTAATTCTTACATTCTTACCCAGGCTGATGGCACTGCATGCTGTAACACAGAACAGATGCACACCCCCAGCTACACAAGTGTATATGAACACACCTGTGTGAACAGGTTCCCATGGAAACATGGAAATATGTAGAATTCCCAATCAATGGAGAGTTAGACTTCTTAAAAGAGGAGTTAGGATTTGTACTGGTCTCAGTAAAACTCAGTGTTGCTGAGGCATGCCCAGAAATGCTATTTATTGCTTAGTCCAGGCCTTGCTTTATAACTTCAGGTCTTTCTTGTGATTAAAGGTTAGTCTATTCATATTTACTATTTGATCTGCTCCCCAGGAACTCAGGGAGCCCAAGTGTGGACAGCCCTTGCACAGACTAAACCTCTGTGTAGGCTGCCTCACGCAGCACTCAGGGAGCCCAAGTGTGCACAGCCCTTGCACAGGGCAAACCTCCGTGTAGGCTGCCTCACTCAGTACTCAGGGATTCCTCTTCCTTTCCAGTCACTGAGAGGGCTGCATGAGACAGAAGGAACTTTAGGCCCTGGCAATTTGGGGTGGTGGCCTGTAGCGGCAGGTAGTCTTTGGGATCCACACCTTGCGTGTTTGTATAAACATGTCTCAGACAAACAGATGTAGAGATATCCTGCTCTACTGAACCCTGTGGAAGACAAGTTCCTTATATAGACCTCTTTGTTTGTTCATGTCTTTACTCTTACTTGCCCTCCTTCCCTCCTCCTCTTCTCCCTCATTCTCTCTCCTTCTCTGTGTGTGCTATGTGTGTTTGTGTGCATGTTGGGGCTCGTGTTGGGATACCTTCCTCGGTGACTTTTCAATTTTATTTATTTGTATATATGTACCTGTATATTTGTTTATGTTTATATTCACATGCGTGGGTAGACATGTGAAAGGGTGTGCAGGCACCTGTATGTGCTGTGTACACGTGAAGGCCAGAGGCTGAGTGACTGCCTCAATCACTCGTCACCTTAAACATTGAGGTGGGGTTTCTTAGTGAACCTGGACTTCACGGATTTGGGTAGTGTAGCCAGACATCTTTCCCTGGAGATCTCTGTCTCTCAAAGGCCAAATGCACAGGTGGCCTGCCATGCCCTCTTGTTATTAAGCGAGTGGTAGGGCTTAGAACTCTAATCTTTACACCTGGGCAGCAAGCATTTTATTCAGGAAGCCATTGGACCTCACCCTATTAGTCTTTTCTTTTGAGACTTGGACTATTTATTTATTTATTTATTTATTTATTTATTTATTTATTATGTATACAATATTCTGTCTGTGTATATGCCTGCAGGCCAGAAGAGGGCACCAGACCCCATTACAGATGGTTATGAGCCACCATGTGGTTGCTGGGAACTGACCTCACAACCTTCGGAAGAGCAGGCAATGCTCTTAACCTCTGAGCCATTGGTCTCTCATTGAACCTGGGAATTTGCAGCTTAGGGCCAGACTGGGTGCTTAGTAAGTCCTAAGATCTACCTGTCTGTATCTGTCAGCACTGGGGTTTTAGGTGAATGCCACTAGGCTCAGCTTTTACACCAGCACTGGGATTCAGATCTCGGTCCCCATGCTGTCTCTCTAGTCCCTTTTCTTCTTTGTCTGCTAACTTTCCTCACTCTCAAAGGCCCAGCTCATAACCCTATGAAAACATAGTCTATCACTGCCCCTAACCATTAACCTACTCCCCAACTGGGGTCCTGGCACCCAAGTGGGTCTATCTTACTCCATTTTCCTGAGCATACTGCATGAGACCTGGCACACAGCAGTTGCTCATATGTGACTAGTCCCAGCATCTATACTGAGAGAATCCCTTCTGAATGGTGGTGTGGGGGTATAACACAGAGGAATTTGTGATGAATGGGGGTTCAGACTGGCCCTTTGGTACTGGTCCAAAGTACCCAGGATATATGTGTCTTTTCCTCCAACCCCAGAGTCCCCGATGCCTGCTCACCTGAGTGCGTACAGGACTGTGCCATTGGAGAAGAGGCGGATGAGCCTGTTTCCCACTGTGACTTCATGGAGGAAGGACTTCTTGGACTCCACAATATAAGTGTCTGGTACCCAGAGGAACTCCACAAGACGGGCATCTAGAGTGAAGCTCTTGTTGCCTTCGAACACTAGCCGTGGGTCTGTCCAGCGCTGCCGGAGGTAAATGGTGGCTGTGTAGTCCTAAGAGGAAAGTCAGAAACGGAAATGATGGGCAGGAAAGAAGCAGGAAGGAAGACCCCCCCCCCGAAAAAAAACCCATATAACTCTCCCTTATATGATATGATATGTATGTATGGCTCTGTGTGTGTTTAAATTATTGGTGTGGTGCTTATCCTCAGCAATGAAAGAACCAAGTGCATTATGTATTTTAGATAATAACTCCTACTGTCAAAGCCCACTTTCAGGGCTTGGGCCTACTTGACATAAAACCTCACACTGCTTAAGAACACAGTTGGCATTAAACTGATAAAGGCTTTATTGGGAAAAATGCCTGGGTTACCCAGGATTTACCCATCATGCCTCAAGGGCCCTCTTGGAAAACTGCCTTCCTCCTGGCTTTATCTTTCTGGTGTCCTCTCAAATTGGTCATTAGATCGTTAGTTTTCATCAGTGGTCCTTTCTCTGAAAGACCATGTGAAGGCCAGGTCTCTCAACCATGTTTTCTCTTCTTTTCCTCAATTTTTATTTCTCAGTAAATGCACTCACTTCTTTTTCTATTTTCTCTCTTCCTAGCCTTTGAGTCTGTTTCCTTCCTGATACCCAGAAAACCCACTGTGGAAACATCTTCACTTAGGAGACAGAACTCTGGCATCTGCCATTCTGTTTCTGAGTAATCTGCTAACATCACCACTGAAAGCAAGGAGAGGGCCCATGGTGGGATGCCACTGGGCAACAATTACCATGTTGCTCTCTGAAATGCTAGAGATGCTTGCGATGTCCAGAGTCAGTGCTATCCGAACTGGGTCACCTGAGAATGCAGAAAAACCAGAGAGACTTACATAGAAACACAAACACAAATCCTTCTTCCCACCACCCATTTCCACCCCCTGCCCTACTTCGTAGGTTGGAAACAAAACTATTAAAAATTATAAAAGCAATATTCATGTATTAGAAATATTTAAATAATCTGAACTATAAAAATAAGAAAATTAATTTTATCTTCCCAGGAGCAACCATTCAGTATGAAAAATATACACAAATACACAGGGACATCATGATTCATAAGAGAGGCCACACGATTATTAATTAATGGGTATTTAAAAATATTTTAAGATTAATTTACTTATTTTGGTGTGTGTGTGTGTGTGTGAGAAAGAGAGAGAAAGGGAGAGAGAGACCGGGAAGGGAGGGAGGGAGAGAGAGAGAGAGAGAGAGAGAGAGAGAGAGAGAGAGAGAGAGGAAGGAAGGGGGGTGATGTGTGCCACCGACTCTGTGGGAATTGTTCACCTCTGCCTTTAAGGCAGGATCTCTCATTATTTTGGCCATGCACACCAAGCCTAAGGCTGTCTGGTCTGAACGTTCCTGCATATTCGTCTACCCCCACCCCCCCATCTTGCCCAAAAAATGTTAGGATTACAGGTGGGTGTCACTAGATCCAGCTTTTATGTTGAGTCAAGGAACAGAACTCAGAGAGTCAGGCTGTGTGTGTGGCAAGAACTTTCACCTGCCGAGCCATCTCCCTGTCCCATAATGTGTGTTTTAAAGAGGCTGATGGCAAAGCACCTGTCCACTCTTATGTGGAAGGTTCTTCCTGTGGCGCCTGCAGGGGGCTTGTTGTGTAGGGTGGGGCAGAGATTTGCTCGCCTGATTGTACACAAATAACTTTCCTTTTTTTTGATTAAGGAAATTTACCAAAAGATGACATCAAAGACTGATGGCGGCCAAGTTCCTGCTGACCCCAGACACTTTCTTCCTTTCCTCTTTGGAGCTCTAAAGTTTTACAATGTTTTACCATGGTTGATCTTACGTAAGCCTCAGTCCTGGAGTTTAGGGACACTGAAAGACACTGCTGAAAATCGTGTTTCTTCTGAAGACTGGAGTGTAAGGGCCATCGTTTTTGGAAGCCAACCAGGCCAGGCCAGGCCCATCTCTTTAGATGGAGATGGGGAAGAAGGGCTCTGGACTGTGAGCTGTGTGAATTCAGATCTCAGCTCTGAACTCCCCTCGCTCTGCCATTGGGGATAAGTTACAGAATAGAGACAGAGGCTCAACGACATCAGAGGTGTGACAGTGTTTTAGCCAGGGGCAGCAAGAGGGAATGTATTCAAAGTGCCCGCTTATTCCTTCTGAGAATCTCAGAGATGGTTCCCTGCACACCGCTTCTGGTATCATACCTGCCGTGCTTTGGCACATGCCCCATCCGTAGGGTCCCCCCAATCTCTCTCGCTCTCTTCCGTGATCCTAGCTAAGGTTGGGGGAAGGACCAATTTTGCTCACCAGCATGAAGGATAAAGCAGGTCTCACTTGCATTAAAGAGCTGAGAGAGCCTCAGGGGACTGTGGCAATGAACTAGGAAGAGAGGAGATGGAATTCTAAAGAAATTAGAAAAATATCTAATCATCTGATTGGTCAGAATTAGTCAAAGCAACCTAACAATTAAAGGGTTGGTAACCCAGGAAAACCAAGCTACAGAACGTAGGGAGGAAACTGGAAATGGTGTTTTCGAGACAGTGTGAAGGAAAGGTAAGGGTTAATGGTTGGTGGGAAATCTTTGAGGACAGAGTGGCAGGGCATGGTGCTAGGTGGCTGCCAGAAGAGTCTGGAGTCAGAGAGCAATGGTTGCACGTCATGCAGTGGTGTGACCTCAAGTTCATTGCTAAACTTCTCTGTGCTGCTTCCTCCCTTGTTAAATGGTGTGCAACCCACTGTCACAGTTCCCAATGTTTGTCCCCTCCCAAACTCACGTAGAAATGGCTGTGACAGTACTAAGAGGTGGAGCTTTCAGAAGGGATTAGGCCGTGAGAGTTCCAGCCTCGTGAGCGGGGTGGGTGCTGCTTGGAGAGGGTGTGTCCAGCCCTCTCTTATCTCCCTCAACCCTTCCCCCACCTCTACCACGTGATGACAAAACAACAGGGCCGAGGCAAAAGCCCTGGCGTCGCAATACTGAACTCTCTAAGTCCGTGAGTCTGGGTTTGTTTAGGTTGCTCAAGGCCAGGCATTACGTGATAGCTGCACAAGACAGGCTGAGGCAAGCGCCAGCCAGCACAGAGGACTGGGTGGGAGAGCGTGGACAGGAAAGCGATGGGTCCCCTCGCTCTGCCTCGCTGGGGAGGGCAGAGTGGAGCGCACACACAAGCTCTAGTCCCACCATGGGTTTTGCTTAGTTTCCCCGCTATCTAGTGCAGCCCAGCCAGTCTTGACTGTTTTATGGACCGGAACTTGCTTTCGTGTCCGGAAACTATGCAAGTGAGCTGTGCCACCAGAGGGCACCTCTCTCCTAGGAAAAAGGTAGACGGCGTGGGCAGTGTCTGTAGTGCCCCCTTGACAACCTTTGCTTTACCCAGCTTAGGCCCTGGAAAGTACTATGGAGGTTTTTGTCTTCCAAGGACCCATGGTGGCCAAGAAGCGCATCAGGAAGCAAGGGTGCATCCACTAACCTACAGGGTGTCCAGCAGGACAGGTTCCTTGAGGACATGGAGTGCATAAAGTCATTAGGCCCCCGTGTTGTGCTTCCTCTCCTTTTAAGCAAGGTGCAACCGGGCCTCACACTCCCTTAAGTTCATCCTCAGTGCTCTGTTCTCTGAACAACCTCCCTGCCCAACATCCCTGCTTCTGGTTGGCCCGTTATTGTGCAAACTTGAAGAGTAATGTCCTGACTTAGTTGTTTGAGATTTGGGAGGCAAGACAAATGGATGTGAGCAAGCTCTTCAGATTCACGTGCTTATTGCTAGTGTGTGGTAAAGCCTGGAAACCCAGAGCATGTGGTGGCTTGCTAGACCCTCGGCATGGAGAACAGAGCCTAGCCACGGGACCAGACATTGCCCAGATCTTCAGCTGAGCCGGCGAGACTGCCTGAGGGTCCTGGTGGTGAGAGCAGATCAGCAGCCTTGCTCTAACGCCCCACACATAAGTGGTACCATAGATGTCAGCTGCCCAGAAACCTGCGCAAAACAGCACGCTAAGGCAGGAAGGATCCAACAGGAGCAGAGACAGAGAGAGGCCTCCTCTGCTGGGTGACTTTGCTCCGGAACTCCCCAGCGGCCCTCCCTTCCACGTTTCGTCAGTGCTTCTGTCTAGACACCTCTGTCTAGACTTCCTTGCCTTTCTCTCTTCACCTCGTGGCCCGAGGGCCCTTCCGGCTTCTCTCTTGCTGCTCTCACTCTTTGCAGTCCAACAAATACCTTGAAAAGGCAAAGTTTCCCACCCCTGCACCCTAGCCTGTGTCTGACCACCAGTGGAACTGGACTTATTAGATCCTAGATCTGACTAGAGACTGTCACCATCACAAGCTAGAAGCAGGAAGGACAAGGACATAACATTAGCTAGTTATGGTATTACAGGAAATGCAATGATTCAGGGGTGGGCTGTGGAGGAATCAGGGAGAGCCTTTCAGAGGAGGGCAGCCTTTCTCAGAGACACAATGGGAAATTGTGTTCCTAGAGAGGAAAGTTGGTGGAGTAACTCAAGGCAGATGAGCAGCCTCTGCACTGGCACGGAAGCCAGAGGCTAGGGATGCTACTGGGCATTTGGGGGCCATATTACGGGACACTGTGGAAGGGTGAAAATGACAGGCAGACAGAGGCAGGCAGAGAAGGGCTTGGAATGCCTGCACTTCAGGCTAGGCTACTGGGTCACGTGCCTATGTTCTTAGCAGGCAGATGGCCCAGGAGGTGATTTAGATAGAAATGAGGGGTGATCATTGTAGGTGGCAGACTACAGGCAGAAAGGCCAGATGGAGCGGTGCTGATGGCACATGGCGAGTTCCTGGCAAAGTGACCACAGAGGTAGGGAGAAGGAAGAGTGTTTGGCAGAGGTTGCCAGAGGCTCCTACATCCAGCACTTCACCCCACAGTGCTAAAGAGAGAACAACTTTAACTTCGAAGTGGAGAGCAGAGTGCTTTCATTGAGGTAGTACAAAAAAATCACAAGCTCGTGTTCTTATCCATCCTTCCCAGTTCCTAAAGCAGCGACCAGTCGGGAGGTGGAGTCAGCAAAGCCTCTGAAGCCCGCTGCTGCATTTTGCCTCTGTTCCTATCCTCTTGAACTGATATCCTTGTCACAAAGGAGAACCTACCACCAAAATTGGGCCTGAGGAATTTGTTATATCCTGCGGTGAGGTTCTCAAAGCCAGGCAAGGAAAGCTTGTCACTTCTGCTGACCTCCACATTGAACTGGTTCCCCTGGATGCACGTCCTGGAAGGGAGAATTGCTTTTGTGGTTATGTCCAAAAATTGATGAACATAGTTAGACATGAATTTGATTGACATCCCCTGTGTGCGTGTTTGTGTTTGTGCACGTATATATGTTGTGCACACACACGCACATGGTGGCTTTCCTGAGGAGACAAATCTTACTTTCTAGCTATTGAGTTAGCCTTTCCATTTTCTTACCCACTTGCTATAGATGAAACTGTCATGATAATTTGGCCACCCTCCATGCATCTTTTCCTTTTTATTTATTTATTGATTGATTGTGTGTGTTGTATGAGTGTATGCACAGGCATGTGTACCTGTGCATCAAATGTCTCCTCTGTTTCTCTCTTTCTATTCCTTTGAGGCAGGGTCTCTCCTTCAATTTGGGGCTCAAGAAACCCTCAAAGATCTCCTTATCTCCTTCCCACTTGGAAGCTCCAAAATTTACTTGCATTTGTGGGACTCTGGTCCTCATGGTTACACAGTAAGCATTGTTAACCACTGAGCCACTTCCCCAACTTCCTTTCACCAAGTGTCTTATGAAAAACCCAAGTCAAAACAAAACAACAACAAAACTCAAGTCCACTGGTCTGCAACCATTTTAGAAACTTCTGTTCTCTAAAATAGAACGAGCCACAGAAATGTTCTTGTTCTGATGTTTCAGGGAGATGAAGGGACTGAGTTTTTGCCGTAAGTTAAATAAAAACTGCTGCAAGCCCTTCCATCAGGACCACATCAGAGTAGCCCTCACTGGGCCATTCTGGGGTAGCACAACTTACCTTTGAGAGAGGAGACTCAGACACACAAAGGCCAGGTAGAAGTTGTGGCTCATGTTGAAGGAGCTATTCACACACAGAGAGAGCCTGAAGGAGGAATGACCTGGAGAGACAAGGAGCAAGGTGAGGGGGCAGTCCAAAGGTTCACTACCTCCAGTCCCACTGTCTTCAGGGGTCTCCAGACCCGGTATTTTCCCAGCAAAATGGGAGCAGCCTCTTTGTACATCTTTTCTTCTAGCACCGGCTCCTCGAGCGTCATCCAGATACACTGTCATTTGGGAACTAATATTTTTTAATCCACCCCAGATATAGGTAGAGTCCTTGTTAATAAGGTGGTTTTTCAGAACTAGTGCCCATATCCAGTCTGGGGGTGCACATTTGCCTGTATATTTGAGGAGCCCCAGGCCTCCCTGACCCCTCCAGCTCTACATTCATGCTGGCTAAACCAGTCACTGTCCTTTTTAGTTCAGGGCCCAGGCCTTTCAGGCAGGTTGTGTTCTTACCTAATCTTTCCCATCTATAGTGGGCAGGCTTATCCCTGTCTTATAATGAGGAAACAGCTTTGTGGGAAAGCACACAGTACTTGTGAATGCCAGAGGTGAGTTTGAGCTGGAGCTGGCTGCTTCATCCCTTTCCTCCAAGACTAGCAACAGCTCATGCTTTCTTTGGCCTGAAGATGCTCACCATCCTCATCATCTCCCACACCTGATCACAGAGTTCTGAAGCTTCCCTGTGCCGGTGTTCACAAGAGGGCTATTGGACAGCCTGCTCCAGAGGCCTGGTTTCCTCGGGTGGGGCACCTGCAGTCAGACATCTCTCAGAGTTCAGTGGCAGCTAGCAGAGCATCCTCGGACCTGCCATGCTGGTGACATGGCAGAGTGGTTGCCTCAAGTTCAGGCCCCTTCCCAGAGTGGGCTACCTACTTAGTGCTAACCGTGGTGAGTCTTCCCACTTTCTAGAACCTAAGCAATTTAGAGCTGTGGCTCAGAGCCAGCCATTTATTTATTAAATAATATGCTGTTTACCAAGCAGTATCCCCTTATTAGAGAAATGAAAATGGACAGAAGTTCACTGAGTCAGAAGTGTATGTCACAGCATACACCAGTGCAGATTTACAGTTTTATGAAGTGTAGGGGTGTTTTGTCTTCATGTGTGTCTATGCACCATGGGCACACAGTGCCCATGGAGGCCAGAAGGGATGGGATTATCTTGGAACTGGAGTTGGAGTTAACTGTTAGCTGCATGTGGGTGTTGGAAATAAAGCCCAGGACCTCTGGAAGAGCCGTCAGTGCTCTCAACCACTGAGCCCCACCTCAGCCCCCTGCAGATTTATAGATGGGAACAGATGTGCCCTTTGGTGAGGGTTGTTGAGTCAAGGTAGTTGTATATGTGTAGGGGGCTCAATCATACTATAACCCTAAAGAACTATTTCAAAAAACCAAGGAAGTATTTAGTCCCTCTGTTGTTTCTTCTTATTAGTCTTATACATCAGATGTCTCCATTATTAATTGTTTTTATCCCCACATATACCTATATTTACAAATGCACACATCTTTTTTTCATAAAAATTGAAAAAGGAAAATTGGGGTGTTTTTGTCCTTTTGCTATTGTTTTCCCCATATAAGTGTAATAGCTGCTATCCATTGATTACTTACTACTAATTTGCCTAAGCTAAATAAGCACCTCCACTTTCTTCACATGTGTTTGAAGTAATTAAGAATATTCTCACTTACCAAGGAATGACACAGCAAGTTAGGGTCAGCTTGAATGTAAATAACTGACCCAACTCCTTCCCTCAACCACAGCAGCATGGGACTTGCTTGTCTCTGTGTTGGCCACGCCTTTCCGCGGCAGCTTCTGTAGCCCCGCCTCCCCAGCCCTTAAGATACAAGGTGGCTCATACCCTGAATACACAAACATTGGCACGCCTTGTGTTCTGCCTATGGATATCAAGTTACTTCCCAAGTTTTTGCTGTTATAAAGTCGGCACTCACTGCTTTGGCCTATATAAGTTCTTATAGACTCTCCTCTTCCTTTTCACTGTGGAATGTAGGAGGCTGGGGGCAGGGGCTCTAAAGGCTGATAAAGGAATAGAGGCTTGCTCGTGACCATTGGAATCTACCCCCTCACCAAAATTGCCAGCTATAAAATCAATGTTATTAAATTTCTGTGACTGTATTTGTACTTTCTCTAGTGTTCCTCTCTGGTCCCTATTTCTCTCCATGCTCCCAGCATCAGGTTTCAGAGGGTTCATGGACTGGCTCGCACACCTTCCATCCCTTTATCGAACATTTTAAAGGGTGAATGGGCTCCTCTTATAAGCCAAACACATGACCAGCAGAGGTCCTGCCTGGAGGGGATTGAGGTGCGCCAGCAGAAAATGTGCATGCTCCATCAGAAGGGTGCAAGTTGTAAATCCTGTCCTGTTCCTACCCACATCAGGAGCCCAGGCAGCAGAATGTCTGGTGTAACTAGAAAGTGAGTCACCGACTCCCCTCGAGGGGATGGTACAGGGCCAGGGTGGGGATGGCAGACATTCATTTGATTCTGGCAGAGTGTGGACTTTGGAGACTGTGACCTCTAGAAGCTGTTAAAGAAATGGAGGTTTACCCATGGCCAGTGGAAACCACTCGAACTTAGCCTTGGTATCTGCAGGTTTTTCCTAGTGTGGCCTGAACTGGCTCTGTTCTCATTTAGGGAGATTCTTCATTGTTTTCCCACCTTCTATAAGAAACCAGCTTTGATCAAGTATATCTGGGAACCAAGTAGTCTTTAGTTTCAAGCTTGCTTTGAAATAGCCATCTCTCCTAGTGGCCAGTCCTCTATTAGGAAGACAATATTTGCATCATGGGCCTCTGAATCTCCTCCAAGGAATGCCAGACTCGAATTCTGTCTGCTGGCTCTGCTAGGGCCGAGCATGCCTCATTACAGAATGGAACAGCAGTGACAGGCCACGTGTGTCACCCAGTCCTATCTGGTTCAGGAGAGGAGTCTCAGATTTACGATGAAATTCGGCTTAGATCACACAGCAATGAAGTGGGCACTGTTTGAACCAGCATTTCTTAAGCCTTTAATCTTGACCACGGTCATATCTGGCTCCACTTTACTGTCATGGTGTTCTGGAGGAGGGTGCACACCGCTGACACCTTTGCTCATTTCAGCCTGACACAGAGAGCTCAGAATTCACTGAAAGAACCGAACCCAAGAAAGCAGGAGTGAGTTGGAAGGAGGCTAGGGTGTGACACGCTTGGACACACTTTATGAGGATGCAAGTCCCCAGTTCCCCAGACGAAATGGGATCACATGTGATTCTGCTCCTTATATCAAACCCACATTGGGAATGGGGTACTGAAAGTCCAGTGGGGGGTACTAGCCCCTGTGGCTGATGAGCCAATCTTTGAGTTACTCTATTTGTCGTCTTGTCTTGCAGGAGGCTCAGGCCTTCCTCTTGGATACAGATATTGGAGCCTGCACTTAGAGGTGCTCACAGACCATTAGGGGGCAGCTGGAGGCTCTGAGCAGGGCTCCCTCCAGCCTTCATCAGTTGCACCCAGGAAGTGGGTGGGAGTTGCTTGAGTTGGGGCAGCCTATGTACTCTTGCCGTAACTGGACCTCCCTGGCTGAAACCTCATCTCTGTTTGTAGAGGAGAGTCTGGGCTTTGGTGTTAGACAGAAGTTAGTCATAGCTAACTTCTCAGCCTCAGTTTTCTCACCTGACAAAGGGGTATAAACACAAATAATAAACCCTGCTTCCCACCCTCCTCTGTTCTATGTCTTCCATTGAAGATCCAGTAATATCGCCAGGATGAAAACCATGCCTGTCAGAAGCTCTTGCTCTCATCCCTGAAAGCAACCTGCTTGGCACTCTTCAGGAAGAACAGGTCAGACGCAGGACATGAGTGTCACCTGGGAGGCCCATTACATTTTTTTCTGGACTGGCTCTGAGAAGCAGAGATGAGCCTGATGGGGATTCCCACCTCCATTCCATGAACACTATGAAGCCCGAGTGTGTCACCTTATAGCCTCCTCCACACTCACAGTGCTCCTTTGCCCTCAGTCACTTCAGCATGCTTAGAGTCATGGGCAGGGAGGCACGCGTGAGGTGAGGAAAGGTCATAGTGCCCTGGGTCCTCCCCAAGAAAATCACTGTGCCTGTTGGTCTTGCCTGGCAGCAGAGAGGAAAACAATGGCAGCTCCAGTACCAGGCAGGGGGAGCTCTAATCTGGGCCCCTCACTTGTTCCTGGGCGGTTTTAGTTCCTTCCTGCACTCTAACAGGGAGTATCATCCTTTAAGACCTGAGGCAGAGTTAGGGCTCAGAAAATTCCAGGCTGTCTCCCCCGCCCCCATCCATCCCAGCAGGACCTACATCTGGAGCTTCTTCCTGCCCTCTCTCCAAGTCCTAGGGGCAGCAGTTTGCTTACCAGACAGCTGTTGCGGCTCTGTTATGGCAGGCTCTCCAGGATCCCAAGCAGGATTCGCATGCAAGGCATACTCTTTTGGGTCCCCTGGGTCCTTTCCACCTCAGCCCTGACCCCTTAGATGTAGGTGTGCATCCACGCTCTGATGGAGTGGCTCTCTCTCTGGAGAAGACAGAGCTGTGGAACCAGGTATAGGTGGGCGGGGACTCCTCCAGCTCCTCCCTTTGTGGAACTCTGACTGGTCCTGGGTTGTTTGTGAGAATCAGTCAGCTCTTGCGATGGCTATGGGACCCCAGAAGTTTGATTCTGAGTTCACATTTCAGCCATGATCCAAACCTCAGCTGAGAAAGACACCTGGAGAGATGAGTGCGTGGCCCCCACCCCTACGACAAGCTCTGCTTTCAGAGGACAGCCCTTCACTATGGTGCAAAGGGATGGGAGTTATTTAACTTGGGCATTCCACTTGATTCTGATTGCCAGGTTCACACCTGCAAAACAACTCAATTCATGTCTGAAAGCCATAGTCCTGGCTCTGACTGGGTTTGTTTGGGATTGGCAGAGACTCGGTTCTGTGTTGTTAGAGACTCTACAAACTGTCTAGTTGCAAAGACACAAAAACTACAAAAGATTGGGGAAGTGAAGCTCAGAAGAGGTGGGAACAATTCTGGGGCTTTCTTGTCTCCTTTCCTGTCTCCCAAATCCTTACAGGGTATCCTTTAAGTCTCTAGCAAATTTGCTTAGGGAGCTTGCAGAGACCACCGAGGTTTTCCTCTTCCAAGGCCAGCTAAGCTTGTGGGCATGCGTGCTTTCTCACTGTCCCTCAGTCTCTCTCCATATTGTAGCCAATGGTCAAGGATATCGCTTTTGGATCTGTCCTCAAGGGAGAAATCTCTGGAAGTCAGTCTGGTACCCTCAGAGGCCTGGGAGCCAGAGGCAGGGGCAGGGGGAGAGCTGAAGTTGTAGCAGGATGATCAGAGGTACTTTCTTCCTTCTTGGAGATGTCAAGGTCACCCTGGGTCAACCTGCTTGGCAGACCCTGTCCTGAGAGGTAAGATAAACAGAGAGAGGGAGGAGCATTCACAGGGTGCAGGAGCTAGCTGTGCTGTGCTGCGGGAAGCAGAAGGAAGTGGGCAGAAGGGGCGGATCTTAGGGTACAATGTACCATAGATGCCTCTGGCCCTCGACCAACTTGCTTTATCGCTCCTCTGGAGTCTGGCCAGCACCCCCCCCCCCCCAAACATCTCTGTGCTGGCGGGGAGGGAGTGGATACTGAAGAGAAAGCCCTTTCACATCTCCAGGGTGACCCCACTTTCACCTGGCAGCCTTAAGGTGGCCAGAAGAGGATTGGCTGAACAGGGATTTCAAGTTCTACCTGAATGACCCGTGGTTTGGGGGCTAATTCTCAGAATTTCTAAGATGTTCTCACATAACCAGAGGCCTGAGAACCACAAAGACAGCTCAGAGCTGGGAGGCATTGTGGGGCGGGGGGAGGTAACTGGGAACAAGGGTTTGATGAAATAACCTGTTGGGCTAGTGAGCAGCTTTGGGACAGTTGCTTCATTCTCTGGAGCTGCATCTTAGGTGGGAAGTGGGGTCCATCCCTGGGGTTGCAGAAAGAGCTGTGCAGCGACAGCTGTGGTGTGGCATTGGAAAGTCTAGGGCTCTGAAGCCCCGGCGCATGAGGTGCTCAGGAAACTGGTCTTCTCTGACTGCTTCTTCTCCGTTTGTGTTTGCCTTTTTTCGCCTTCTGTTGCTGTGGTAAACACCATGACCAAGAGCTACTTGGGGAGGAAAAGGTTTGTCTCAGTTTACAGATTGCAGTCCACCACTGAAGGAAGTCAAAGCAGGAAGCTGGAGCATGGACTATGGAGAAACAATGTTTATAAGCTTCTTCTCTAGCCTACCTAGCCTTTTTTATATAGCCCAGGACCACCTGCCTAAGGAAGAGATCCACCCACAGTGGGCTGGGTTCTCTCCCATCAGTCAATAACAACGACAGCTCCTCATAAATATCTAGTCTGGGCAGTCCCTCAATTGATGTCCCTTCTTTCCAGGTGACTCTATGTTATACCAAATTGACGATAAACTCCATCCTGCTTAGCTCTTATCCATTCAAGCTTACATCTGTCTACCCCTGCTTATCATGTGTGCTGCTGTCTATGTGTGTTTGTATGTATCTGTGTATGTATCTTTAGCATCTTCCTGCTATCTATTATCTAATCATTTATTATCTATCTGCTTATCATCTGTCTAATGACCAATCTTCCGGTCAGGTTATTGATGCTTTCATTGCTTAGTTTTGTAAGTGTATATGCAAATAATCAGAAAGTATATTAATGAACTGATTTTACCTGGGAGCCAAGGAAAATCCGGTTTGAAGTTAACAAAGTGTGTGCGACAAGATAAAATCTAATCTTCAGTTTCAAAACAGCTTCAGTGTAGTGCCGGCTTCACCTTGGATTTCCTTTAGATTGACTGAAGAAATGGGTGGAGCTTGCAGGGAAATTACATTGATTTCCAGTGTTCCCAAACAGGCGGCCTTGTCCCTGGGTCTCTAGAACCCTTGACAGCCACCTAGTTCAGACTGTGACCTCCAGTCTCAGGATCCCTGAGGTCAGTGGTATTTCAGGATGGCCAGCTATGCAGACTGACTGCTCACAGGTTCCAGTTCTCAGTACCCACCTCCCATTCCTCGAGGCCACACACCCTCCTAGAATGTGTCCCAGAAAAACAAAGGGCGGGGTGAGTCAGCCTGTATCTTGTGAACTTGGTACCCACATGCATTCAGAACACTGATAACTCACCTGAACACCGTGCATTCGGATGGATCGCTGCTGTTCTCCGGGCTTTCACTCTGCACACAACATCTTTCTTGAGCGGTGTCACAGTCTTGTGAGGCACGTGGGCCTTGGTTCCTTCTTTCAAATTACATTTTGATTTGTTTTGCATGTGGGGGCAGGGTGGCATGTGTGTTACAGCGAGCATGTGGAGGTAAGAGGACAACCTCTTTCCACCATGTGGATTAAATTCAGGCCCGCATGCTTGGTGGCTTGGGGCTTACCCACGTAGTCATTTCATCAGCCCTAGCTTATTTCTTTATTCTCATTTTGTGGATCACAGCCACCCAGCTAGGGATTGGTAGAGATAGCCAGAACTGTCTGGAACTTGGTCTTAGGGGTTGAATCAACTGCATTATGAATATACCGATTGCTCCTGCCAGCAATGGTTGAACTCAACAGTCACAGGTTTGCCCATCTCTATTACTTTCTCAGCTCTGTTACCAAACTGAGTGCTGTTTGAAGTCACATCTTACTAACTGGTATGTCTCTCGTGCTGAAGTCAACTCCTTGGCCATATGTGAGCCATTAGGCTAAGACTGGGGATGTATCTCGGTGGTAGAACACTTGCCTGGCAAGGCTGTGGGTTCAATCCCCAGTAGCACCGACCAACCAACCAACCAACCACCCACCCACCCACCCACCCACCCAACCAGTCTACAGAGCCAGTGAAGCAATGAATGAATGTAGTCAAGCCATGCAGGTGAACCTGGACAACAGTAGAGTATTATTTGATATTTATATTTTTATCTAAATATCTGCTTATTCATTCATTCCTTGCTCCCTCCTCCTCCTTATTTTTCTTCTCCCTTTTTGATAATTCATTTGAACTCAGCCATCAAGATGGTACCACCGAGCTATATAGCTACAACTAATTCTAATTAATAATAATAATAATAATAAATAGTAGTACATACATATATACATACCTTTCTGTTAATACCTTTAGTACCAAACATAAATATTCTGAATCTATGTACTTAAGGGACTAGAGAAAAAGAACCTTTCATACCAATATCACCAAATACTGGAAAACCACACAGGTTCCCCCTGGGATCTGCCCAGGGTGTCTTTTTATTTTCTTCTGCACTACAGACCTCACAGACCATCCATAAATCACAAACGTGGTCAGCGAGCCAGAGGGCCGGGGAAGGAAGGTACCGACTGAGTGGCTTGTGAGGGTGAACCCTCTAACTCTTGGCCGTGCCTCCCCAGAAAAGAGCTCTGTCCACCCGCTACAGTGAGCTACACCAAATTCAAAGACTGACTCCCAAGTGCCTGCTGCAAGAAGCTCAACTCCATTCCGCTCACCACTTCAGAATGATAGCCCAGCACCAAGCCTCCTATTAACTTTTTGTCTTTTGCTTAGATAGATTTTATTTTTTATATATGAGTACTTTTCCTGCATGTCTGTCTGTGCACCATGTGCATGCCTGGTGCCTGCAGAAGCCAGAGAGGGTGTTGGGTCCATTGGAACTGGAGTCACAGGTGATTGTGATCCACCATGTGAGTGCTAGGAATCGAACCTGGGTCCCCCGCAAGAGTAACCAGTTCTCTAAATCCCTGAGTCATCTCTCCATCCCCAGGCTCTCATTTCTTAAAAAAGATAGGAATTTTGTTATTCTTTTGGTCTTGTCAACAAGAATTGGAATTCTCCTGTGTGTCAGATGTTCTTCTGAGGTCACAGCAACAAAAGCATGGTCTCTGGTGAGCGCAGACAGACAGGCTATAAACATAATAAATCCAGAGATGCAGTGTTGGGAAAGAATACATGCTGTGGAAAAATGTTAAGCTAATGAAGGGTGGGAGATGGGGGGTGGGGTGTTATGTTAGAGAGGTGGAAACCAGAAAGTCTCTTTGAAGAGGTGGCGTTATCGGAGGCCCCCAAGGCATGGGTGGAGTCCTGCTTCTGTCTGCTTCCCTCAGTCTCTTTCTCCTCTGGCCAGCAAGCTTTCTGAAACTCTCCCAGCAGACCTCCTTCCTCCTTAAAGTCCTTTGATGGGTCATTTTCTTCTCTTTTATCTCGTGTGTGTGTGTGTGTGTGTGTGTGTGTGTGTGTGTGTATGCATGCGCGCATGCATGAATGTGTGCATTGGGGCCTGCAGCCATAAACACTTGCTGATTGCCTGCCTCTCCAAAGCTCCCCATCCCTCCCTTCTATGTCTTCGTCACCACCTGCCACCTTTGAACACACTGTTCCCCTGCCAGGAATACTCTTTATCTTCTTCCTCTTATTGTCTGGGCCAGCTCCAGCAAGACTCTCAGGATCTCTCCTGTTCTGTTACCCAGTACACAAGCGCACGAACACACACACACACACACACACACACACACACACACACACACACCATGTTGACATCTCTTAGTATCTGTCATAGGATAAACTATACCATGCACAGCTTGTGCTCAATTTCACCCATCTTTGGTGCACAGCACAGAATTATATACAGAGTGCTGAATGAATTGA